ACAAATACTAAACAACGTGGCGTCTTCAAACTTAAAACATATGCTTTCTAGATTGTGTACTTTCTAATACAGTGATATTTTTCAAACAACTACCGCCATCTCTAGGTCAGATCGGGTACTTCAGGGACCACCCTCGTATATGATTAGTGCCGACTCTTCGGGCCGGCTCCGTTACTCTTACTCCGCACCACCATATATCTTGCGTACCGAACGCCTCGCGCTATCACGAACTTACCCGGAGCAAGTAAAAGACATGGTCCATTTCCGACACAGAAATCATTATAACCACGTATAAAATAATCCATTCTTTATTTACTACTTGTCTCTCTAAACCAGCACCTGTCCGCCCGAACCACCTACTCTTGAACAACAAAACGCACCCGACCGCCCCCGGACACGACAGAAAATATTCTCACTATTCGTCTAGATGATAACATATACAGCAATATATTAATTTTATGTCAAAATATTCTGAGATGTTTTAAAACTGGAATATTTTTCCGTCGCATCTAAACTTCAACAAAATTTCTCAGAAAGATTGTTTTAACCCCGTGCGGGATTGTTGGTTCCCCATCGCTTCCCCAGGTAGCAGATAGGGAAATGCTTACCGGCTTGCCGGAGGGTATCAGAGAAATAAAATATCCCGGGGTGGACCAAAACCAGCAACAAGTCATTGCATGCAATGTACAGAACAGAAATGGATACTATCCCAAGTGATAGCCCGGACACCATTTCGGAAAATCCACCCTCCAATGAGGTCGGTCACAAGGATTCTGGGGAGGTGGAGGCGGAAGGGCAACCATTGTTTTGTAATAGTAAAATGAAAGATGTACCTGAAAGGAATTCTCAACCACATAATTCTACAGAAGAAAGAAGAGAAGAAAAATTAACATAGAATTAACCCTTTGCACTCGAGCGGCGCCGATACGGCGCCCGGCCGATTTAAAGCGTCAACTCGAGCGGCGCTGCTACCTAGGAGGAGGCAGCCTAGGATGCATTTTGGGCATTGTTTTACGAAATATCACACGAAAACTAATTACAGAGTATAATATTTACCAAATTTTGTAGTATTCAATATAAAAATAAATGAATTGATGAAATTTTATTATTTGTATACGTTTGTTTGAGTATAAATGATTTTAAAGTATCTGTAAAATGGTTTCCTAATTTAGCCGAAATAGTCTCGAGTTGCTGGTTCGTGCAAGCGAAAAAGGCCTCTAGTGCAAAGGGTTAACAATCTACTCCCAAGGAATCCGAAACCAAGAAGCAACTTTCTTGGTGTACTGCCCTTAAATGACCGCGATATGAATATTGTAATTCAATCGCCTACACACGAGAAAATACCAAATACAAACAATCTATGACAGAATGAAGAAACGCTCAAAAATAAATGAAAAAGAAGCGGGTAATTCCCTTTTGACGAAAAACGCAATAAAACAGGGAAAAATCAATACGCCGTGCATATTCAAATCCGGTTTCAAATTCTGAATAACTCAAACCAAGATACAACATCAGAGCACGTTCCTTTTCCCGAATCAGAACCAATATTTGTTACCGGAGTGAATCAAACACGTGAACTAAGACAAACACTAAACAAAATTATTATCGACAAAGAAAAATACACTATGACAACTCTTACATTTGGGCACATTGTAAAAATAATACCTGTGGACATAGAAACTAATAAACAATTTAAGGATAATTTCATCAAATTAAATATCAACCATTATTCTTATCAATTGAAGCATGAAAGCCTTTAGAGTGGTACTCAGAGGAGTGCATGCTTCCGAAGATAAACCAACGATAAAAGGACAAATTGAAAGGTCTGGCCATGAAATCAGAAATATCACGAACAACGTCATAGGTTAATTAAAGACCCTCTGCTCCTTTATTTTGATGATCTCGAGCCGAAGTCAAATAACAAGACATATACGAAATTAAGAAACTGGACCATCAAATTGTTCACTTCGAAAACATATCCATAAAGAAAAAGAAGACGTTCAATGCAAGAGATGTTAATGATTCGGACATACTAAAAACATGTGCCACAAAACTTTTCGCTGCGTCAAATGTGGTAATTATCCAACCGCCTCGTGCATTAAAACTCCAAATACCCTAGCTACTTGTGATAACTGCCAAGGAACTCATCCAACTAGCTAGAAAGTGTGTACAAAGTACAAAGAATAAAATGACCGAATCTTTAATCCAAACTCTTTAAAAAGGAACAAGTAACAAATCCAATGGAAACTGGAAAATATAAAAATCAAAATATACATCATTTAACCCTAATAACAACCAATTACTACCCCACGTAACCAATGATACCTCTATGAAATCTGGTTATGAAAATGCCGTTAAGAGTAAAATACACAGAGACACGTCAAATCATGATAACAACAATGGCTCACTCACAGACCATAACATACCAAATATTATACAAAGTATGCTGGAAAGATCCGAATCAACAATTGAAAGAATGATTGACAAAATGTTGGATCGTTTCATGGATCTAATAGCTAAGCAAAACTCTGCAAGTAACAATGGCTTAAGAATTTTCCAATGAAATACAAACGGCTTGTCTCTTAGAAGGCAAGAACTCATAACGTACATTGCGTCATATAAGATTGAAGACATTATACTAATTGCCGAAACTAGATATACTAACAAAAATTTTTTTTAAATACCCGGCAAAGTTACTTATCTAACTTATCACTCCTTTAGCATTTTACACGAAAGTACAGCAGTACTTATCAAAGAAAAAATTGCACATTACGAAGTAGAAAAACAACAACAGGAGCACATCCAAGCAACCAGCGTTGTGGTTTCCTCCCGAAATGGACCAATAACAATACCCGCTGTGTATTGTCCACCAAGATATACAATTAGCAAAAAACTTTTCCACAATTTTTTTAAAACCTTAGGACAAATTCATCGCGGGAGGGGATTGAAACGCTAAGCACCCAATCTAGGGCTCACGTCTTAAGAACAACTCCCAGAAGTAGACAACTAAATGCCGCCTTAACGGATAACAACCTTCAAAGTGTATCCACAAGCCAACCTATTGGCCTACAGATCCCAATAAAATACCGGATCTTCTAGACTTCTTCGTAACGAAAGGCACTGCGACGACCTGCCTATATATTGAAGCCGTTACGGATTTATCCTCTGACTATTCACCCATAATATTCACCTTAAGTAGGGATATTATCCTTAAATCACCAGGACCAATCTTGTCGAACAAGTATAAAAATTAGAACAAATATAAAAAAACCATTGAAGACAGAATTAAACAGAACCTACCGTTGATAATTCAGACCGACATAGAACTAGCAGTAGAACACCTAAATTCAAAAATACAAAATGCTGTTTGGAAATCCACATCTTTCCCAACATATTAGGAGCCAACCTCAAATCAATATTCTCTCCTGATAAAAGAAGAAATCTCCGAATGCAAGAAGCAACGTAGAATGTAGCATTATACACGTAATACTCACTTCAAGAAGATCTTAAATAAATGCTCTAGACACCTGACTTCATTAATTAATGCACTTAAAAATGAAACTCTGCAACACTACTTACAAGTTCTGTCCCCACACAAAAATAGTGATTACTACTAGAAAGCAGCTAAAAGATTTAAACAGCCAAAACAACCAATACTGCCGCTGAAAAAATCTAATGGAGAATGGGCAGAGAAATGAGGCAAAGAAAGCAACTTTATTCGCTGAACATCTTTCGAAAATATTCACTCCATTTCAAGCAAACGGGGATTCTTTAGAAACCAATAAACTGCAAGATTATCTTGACTCCATTCATCAATTGTCATTGCCTATTAAGAGTGCGTCCCCTGAGGAAACTGGGAAAGTTATTAAATCTCTAAACACCAAAAAAGCTCTCGGATATGACTTGATTTCAAGGAAAATGCTAAGAAAACTCCCCAAAAAAGCTGTTATTCTTATTACTCACATACTGAACGCTATACTACGGACTGTTATTCGGGTCAATGGAAAATTGCGCAGATCATAGACATACTTAAGCCTAGGAAACCGGCAAATGAGACCGGATCCTACAGGCCTATAAGTCTACTCCCAATCCTTTCAAAAGTCTTTGAGCAAATTCTACTTACTCGTCTTAAGCCCTACCTGGAAACAATTATCCCCGACCACCAATTTGGATTCCGACAACTTCACGGAACTGTAGATCAAGCACATAGAATTGTCAACATAATATCCACCGCATTGGAGAAGAAGCTATACTGTTCTGCCGCCTTTCTAGACATTAGCTAGGTTTTTGACAAGGTCTGGCAAACTGGATTATTATATGAAATAAAAAAATACCTGCTACATACGTACTTCAATATATTCAAATCATATGTAACAGATAGATATTACGAAATAAAGTTACACAACGAAACTTCTAAACTCCGGCATCCCTCAAGGTAGCGTACTGGGTCCAGTGCTATATCTTTTATACACTATGGATCTACTCATTAAGCATAATATAACAATCGGAACCTACGCTGATGCCGCTGCGTTACTAGCTATACACAAAAACCCACGTACTGCTTCTCAACTACTTCAAGATAACATTGGACTCATAGATACATGGTTTAAAAAGTGGAGAATAAAAGTGAACGAAAATAAGTTTGCACATGTAACTTTCACTTTACTTCAAGAAACAAATCTACCAATACGGCCGAACGACAACTTCACCTCCAAACCAACGTAGTCAGATATCTCGGGCTCCATCTGGACTCTAAATTGACCTGGCACAAACACATATGGACTAAAATAAAACAACTAGACACTAAGGTCCGAAACATGTATTGGTTCATAGGTAGACGATCTAATATGTCGGCAAAATCTAAAATACTAATATAAAGCGATACTATCATTTGGACTTATGGCATCCAACTACAAGGAACAGCAAGTAACTTTAACATAGACGTTTTGGAAAGATTCCAAAAAAAACTATAAGGACACTGTTAAACATCCTTTGGCATGTTAGCAATCGTTTCCTCTACTGCTCTCATCTCCACATGCCGACGGTGACAGATTAAATGCGCACACATAGCGGACATTACCGGAAACGATTAACTGAGCACCCGAACACACTAGCACGTAACCTGATAACGGATAAACTAAAGTTCCACAAGATTAAAAGACTGTATGTGTACTGGATCTACATAAAAGATTCTAATAAACAATTCGCAAGCTATTAGGGAGTTGGGTAAACCGATGGATTTTTCACTGGGCATTGAGGAGACTTAAATGCTTTTTGCGATCAACCTAGTTGATCATTGCAGTGACTGCAGATGACAACGGTGCAGTTCGAGTGACAAGTGAATAAAAAACAATTGTGTTAATGGTCACGTGATAAAAACTAACATATAGTGTGACAGAAATTAATTTTTTTATTCGGTTATTTTTTACGAGGATTTGTTCATTCTGTCCTCACCATTGTAATTTTGAAATTTTCTAAAAAAGAAAGTTTCTCTTTCTCTTGTCTGAAGTTGCTAAGAACAATCTTTTCGAGATATTTCGATATATTCTTTATGATAAACGAACATAAAAATCGATTATAAGAAGATATATAAAATATAAAATTTAATACAATTTAATAAAATATCATACAAAAATATAAAGAAAAGTTTCAAGTCGTTTGTCTTTCTAATGAAGCGAAATAAAACGTTCACGAAACGTCGGAAACAAACTCACAAGACGGCATCAGTCCGAAAATTAAACCAAATATAAATTTCATAATCACGAGATCTACATGAAATTCATAGTATGGAAGATGTTAAATCTTGCAATCATCACAGAGTGCTTATTAGTTCGTGAATATTAAAAGTTCAAATCCTCACCTATACACATGTGAGGACCTTTTCCAAATGGCATGTATGCATAAGTCGGTATGTTGGATCTGCTCCCCTGGCTGAATCGTTTCGGATCGAATTTCTCGGGATCGGGAAAATATTGAGGATCGTAGTGTATACCCAATAACGAGATGAAAATTCGCGTACCCTTCTCAATAAGGAGGTTGGAGTTCGGCATTTGATACGTCTTCACTGTCTGGCGATCTATAAACGGCATTACAGGATACTTCCTCAAAATTTCGGAGATCACCATGTCGAGATACGGTAGCGAACCAACCTGACAATGAAGATATAATATTTGTTACAATCAGTTTTAATTTTAAGCGAAATAGTGATTTCACACATTAATACTGAAAATTTTCTCGTTTGATTTGTCAATAAAATCATTCTTAACAATGACGAAATCAAATAATTAGAACAATACCACATGATATTCCCACGTATCATATCGAATGTGACTTTTCAATTGAAGTTGTCAAACGCATCGAGAATTTCTTTCCTAAGTTTGTTTTGAATTTCAGGATGCAATACGAATTCATATAACGCGAAAGACATCGCCGTTGAAGTGGTTTCGAAACCGCCGGTGAAAAAGATCAAAGCTCGCGCTATTAGATCATCCCAGTCGAAATCTAACATTTAAAAATTTCTATAATTTAAAAACTTACTAATTTAAAATTGTCGATCAGATACAAGTTGATTAATCAATTTTTTTTTTTAGAAATCATCAACTCTGGGATGCATAAAAAAGCGACAAACGTAATCGAAGATATTTTTTCTCATGCTATGGGAAAGATATCATTCTTTCTTGCATTTTGCTTACCGAAGCCTTCCATATCACAGTTACGTTTTTCTTGAAGTCGATAAGTATATCGATAAGATCACCAATTCTGACCAAATTTCATGCGATAGTTGATCGTTTCCCAGAAAGCTTTGCGTAAAAACGCACAGGATTTCTTCCCGAAAAAATATGTGTCGGCCAAATGAGCTATCTTCGGATAAAAGAACATAGCAAGCATCTCGTAGCTTCGGTTGCTGGTAAAATTGAAAATCTCTTTGCCCATTTTTCGAAACTCCGCGTTCGAATCGAGCAAGGAATTCATTTCGATTCCGAAAACGGTACTGCCGATCATGTCGGTTGCTAATTTACCAAATATATCTTTTACATCTAACATTTGCCCTTCACCTGCCAGCAAATATGTCAAATTATTCCGTGAGTCAACAAATATTCTCTAATTATATTATTATTATTATAAAGGAACACACAGATATATATTGAAATTATGCTAATTATTTTTTACAGGATTGATGTAACGAATGACATTAATGAAATGTTAAGTCGCATATAAAAATCAAATAGTTTTCTTCAACTTTTTTATATTTACAATCAAATTATGTAATATTATGTCTCGACATTTTATACTTGATTATTTGTTTTAGAAAAGCACATATCTTCTAAACCCTCATAGATTCAAAATTCGTGTCCAGATTGTCAGCGGATTTCAACATCAAGTCGACCATTATCTTCAGTTTTCTCAAAGTAAAAAGCGGCGTTAATGTGGATTTTAACACCTTCCAAGCTGGATTTTTTATGAATGCCAATGAAGCACTACTTAAACGATCTTTTGAATCTGGTGAAGTGCTTCGGTCACAGAAATAATTGAAATTTTTTACTAAAATGTCTCTTATTACTTGTGGCTTACGCAGTAACAAACAGGGCTCATCTAATAAGTAAAAACCCATATAAGGTTCTTCTTTCATTTGTTGGTATAAGTCTCTCATAACAAAACCAGGGTTTTTTTAGAAACAAACACTGTGCGAAATTGCCTGCAAATAGCACTGGTTTTATTTCGAAAATGCCCCTTTTTCTCCAGTAATTAAAATTGCGAGTCATATAAAGATATGTCGTCATTAGCATCACCATCAAAACAACGATGATATAAAAAATCCAATTATTCGTAATTATCGTCATTTTACTGTTCCTATAAAAATATATTATTAATATTTATAATAATAATAATTTATTATAATAATAATTTATAATAATATAGGATGAATCACTTAACTTTAAAAGCCTAAATATATAAAATATATAGAGTATTCGGTATGTCTTGTACATCCAATTGTGTGCTGATAGAAGGGATTAATTTGATAGAAAAGATAGTCACCATTATGCAAAATTCGCGAACGAGGAATTAATCCTGCCTGAATTAATGACCGCAAGAGAAGCGGCCGAACATAAAAAAGAGATTCCTTCGACCGTGCACGACGGTGACATTTGAAAATCGCGAAAAGAAAATCTTTAGTACAAGTTTACAACATTATACGCATTTCCATTTTAATTCTCGCATTCGACTTGAATCGTTTCCTTGCCGGCCGAGAGTATTGGTTTATCGCGTTTAGTCGCGTATGTCGTGTCCTTCACGTTCTCGTGCAATATAGTGTTTTTGTACTCGCATCCTTTCATATTAGCCTTTTCGCGTGACATAGTTCGGTATCGCGTGTGTTAATTTAGTAACAGATTTCGAATGAACAAAATTTGCGCTAGAAAACGGTAGCGTTTCGATACTCGCATTCGACGGTACGCCAGTCGTCGACCTTGTCGGGGCGCGCGAGTATTGCGAAGATTGTATTAGCGTGCGAAAATTATTATTATTTGCGTGTTAGCGTAAGAGTGACCGGCGTTCTTTGATATTTGATGTCACGTCTGTAATGTTATTTGCGTTTTTGATATCGCTTGTTTTCTCAACGTTAGTGGTTGAGAATTTATTTAAAATTCTCATACGAGATCGACCGTTCGGACGGCGTTCCCCCAAAAATATCGCGTCTAGAAATTCGTGATTTTTCTTTGATTTTCTTTTCTTTTATTGTTTTCTTTTATTGTTCTTTTCTTTTATTGCTTTATTCTTGTATTGATATTGATTGATTGATTGATTGCACACTTCCATAGCTGATCTGAAGTTCCTGAGAGATTTTAAAAACAGTTAAGTGCCGATCGTCTTCGATAAGTTCTCGAACAGCCTCGGTGTTCTGCACTGTGATGCTGGCGCGGAGACAGCGCGGATGGGCAATATTTTCAACACGCTTCCGTCCTTTCTTAAATTCGTTACACCACTACTTCACCCGAGCCCATGAAAAGGCTTCTTTTCTCAAACTGTGGGAGTAAACGGTGCCGAATTTCAGCAGCATTTACATTTTCGTTGACGAGAAACTTAATAATAACACATTGTGCAACTGCGGGATATACTTCTTTCTCGCTCATTGTGATTACTGCTGAGAGTAAGAAGCACGTGGCGCGCCAACGTTATTACTGCCTTTCACATGACTCCCCTCCACTCTCCAAAACGTTGCTGACCACTCACGCCACCGACGGGCGCGCAATTTAAAAAGGCTCATTTATATTTGATCCACCGTAGTATATACCAATAACATTCTCGTTAAATTATGTAAGGTTATAACCTCCCTGTAGTCTTAGTGCAATGTCCGGTGCTGTAGAGGTAATGATAAGTTCAGATATTATGCGTAATTGCATAATAGAATATTTAGCATGACAAATGAAAAACAGAAGAAAAAACAGCCGATTCGATTCATGTGACATTTCATAATTCAATCCCCAACTGGAGCGTAACGCAATGTGCTCATTCAACAACGTTAAGATCCATCTACATCAGATGCGGAATCCGGGTCGCAGGCTGAGATGCTATAAAACCGGTTTCGGGTATGCAAGAAAAAGACGCACCTCAGGTAATCGTTCACATTACTAAATTAGTCAAGTATGGTAAGAGTTCGTATTATAAATACAACATAATAATAAGTTTGAATAAGGTTATGTTTATCCATATCCAATAAACAATAAGCAACATTTATATTACATCTAATTCAGATCGATGAAAATATGCAGAAAATAAACAAACGTATAATTATTAAATATCTAATATTTATATTTATTGTTTATAATTAACACATATAGTTAACATTAACATTTATCATAAATCAAATGAATATTTNACATTAACATTTATTATAAATCAAATGAATATTTTAAACTACAGTTTTATTTAATTTTAAAAATAAATTATCTATATTCTGTCGCACTGCAACACGTCTTGATTGTCCGCGCGGTTGCAGGACTTCTTCGCTCCCGCTCTCGCGACAGCGGACCCACCTCAGCTAGCTCAGTTTTAATTTTTGGCAACAGCGAATCTATTCCTTCGCTATCTGGCGTGGTAAAGCGTCGTGGTTCTTTTACCTTCTTCCTCGATACTCGCGGACAATTCGGGGAGGAGTCGGGAGAGATAATAATTCAAAGACAGATTTAACATTTAACATGTTACCTTATTCAATGTTGTTTATGAGCGAATGCACTCAATTCTTCGAGTGCACCGCTCCGGCTGGATCTGCCCAGCGCAGAACACAGAATGCAGTGAAGGATCGGTGTCAGGAGAATTGTTTGGAACTCGAGTTTAGTTGAGGCAATGGTTTATTCAGTCACTGAGGCAGAATGGCGATCTGTCCCTTACGGTTCACGGCGTGAGGAGACGTCCTCGGCTTGTAGAACAAACGTGTTCAGCGCTTGCGTTAACGGCCCTCCTGAGCTTCCACAAGTCCGGAGGTCTTCGCAGCTTTTACAGATCTTAAAGTCTCCTTTTCTTTTCAGTTACCATGCGCAACCACTATTGTCGGACGTAGCACGATTATAAAT